AGGCAGCTACTATCTCAGCTGACTAAACAGCAACGAGGCACAGGGCTGCGATCGCCTACTGATGCCTCTAAGACTACTGTTTTTACGACCGGTGTAAAGGTCTTCCGCTTCGGTTTCTACACTTGAGAGTTTCGCGGTTTGTGGCTTAACCCTACGGGCAGTGATATCTTGATCCAGTAGTTCACAGTCAATCAACGCCCAATAGAACTTGCAGCCGTTCCCTGAAGCTGAACCTCTCCAGCATTTGCCTCCGAACTATGGCCAATACCCTCCAGCACTCCTCCCTGCACCCCAAACCTGAAAGCAGCAAAGCCTGATTCCCTCCAAAAATATTGAACCTTACACATTTCGGCCTGCACCTGAAGCGTGTGAAACCTCGGTTAACACAGGGTGGCATAGCAGCCTCAGTCGAATAGGGGTCCTTGGAAATAATAGCACACCATAGTTAATCATGATAGGGGCTCGAAGACAAAGGTAAAAATAATAAGAGTTACAATAGGTAATGCTGGTAGAAATAAACATACGAATAACAGAATAACAGAAAGTAACAATTGAAAAAACATTCCGAGACCGATATGACGTGAATGAGCCAAATCCTCGGCACCTCATGTTGCAGAACCAGCTCGCAGCTTTCCTCAGACCCGACTGTAGGGGTTGAGGGTTTGGGGCTTGCGGTTGAGGGTTTTTGAGGGTTCCTTCGTTTTTGAGGGAGGGAGGGAGGGTTAGGGTTTAGAGTTTTGCTTGTATAAGTTTTGGGTATAGAAGGGTTCGGGATTTGGGGTTGAGGGCTTAAGGTTAACGCAGGGTCAGCATTTTGAGGTTTAGGGTTAATACAGGGTTCGGGGTTTTTATGCTTAATTAGGGTTAATGCAGGGTGCGGGTTTAGTGCCGTTGAGCGATGGAGACTGACGTAGGGTAGGATTAATAGAGATGTGCACTAAACCCTAAACCCCTAAACCCGCAACACCTAAACCCTCATCCGTTGGGCTTCAGGATTTGATAAGCAGGAATTGGTAAGCAGGAATGCGAAGTACGGCAACAGCAAGCGAGCCATGTTGATAGCAACATCTGTCAGGATCGCAAAGCCAGCCTTCATCTGAACAGGCAAACCATGAGCAATGAGATGCCCAGTATCAGAACACCACACAGATGAACTAGCACATGTTCATCATGACTGGTGCAAGTTTAGCTGGTTTTGGGCGGCGGTGCTCGGCTTGACGATTTCCGTGCCTACAAGTCAAACGCACGAACAGAGATGAACATCTGAAGGTGAAAGCAAGGGCCTTGAAACATCTTGAAACCTACATCCCAAATCCCTAAAAGCTCCACTGCCTAGAAGCTCCAAAACCCTTAAACTCATGAACTGTAAGATCTAAACACCCTGGACCCTAAGCCTGGAGCTCAAACTACTGCACCGTCATACGCTGCAAAAAAAGCCGAGGCTCAGCTGCACGCCGCAGTGACTCCTGCTGTAAAGCTTCCGGATTTCTACAATTGAAAGCTCGGAGGGCCTAGGTTTAAACTACTGTTGTGAGTGTGTATATGTATATATATATATATATACATGTATATATTATGTATATGCTTTCAGAGAGCCACAGAGGCAGAGAGAGAGAGAGCGAGAGCGAGAGGGCGTAAGGGAGAGATTGACAGACAGAGAACCATTAATCTCGGGGTTTAGAGCCTAGGGTTGTTGCCTTTTGAGGTCGCAGATTGTCCAGATGTTTCCTGTGTGGCGGCTGACAAACCCTGTATCTTAAAAGTAATGATGACAACAGTACTCCAGGTGTTTCACGTAGAAATCAACATAGCTATTGTACAAGTTCTCAACTGCACATGATAGTAATCATACTGACGGTAGTTGGAATAAGAATAACAACAATACTAACAATAACAATAACGATGATAGTAACATCGATAGCTTATCAGCCAGCTGTTGAGTTTCCCCCGCAGCAGACTACCAAGCAGGTAATCTGCACAAAAACTGTCAGGAGCAAAACGCAAACCAAGAATCTCCAGCTCTCCGTGCTCCCATGTTTGAAACAGTGGTGCGGAACGACAAACCACATGTTGAAGTGATGCACGAACTCACAGAAAATGAATTTAAGTACACCTGGTGGGCAAAAGCCGGAATTTGGAGTGACAAACGACCGAATGACGCAAAAGCAATCAAAAAGACCGCCGAAGAACAGGTACTGCTGCAACACGTGCCACATGGTGTCAGTCGCAGTTGCCTCAAGAATCTGATATAGCCTGATGTTCGACAGGAGCCCTAGCTCACAACCTCCTGGGCTTCTAGAACCCAAAGCCCAAACTGAAACCCTATTGAACCACCCTTTTTTGATTCCACCCTTGAAGCATCCAACAAAAAGCTATAGATTCCTGATAAAGGCCCTTCCTATGCAACACACCTTGCAGCACTCTTCCAACACCGCTAGCTTGAGAACAGACCTGCACCGCCAGCGCAGCTTCCAAAGCAGCCTGGCTTGCCATTCGGCCACCCCAGCTTCCTGGGATTTTGAGAAAGCCATGGCATGATTTGCGGACTTGGGCGTTTTGGGCTTGGGGAGTCTTCGGTTAGTAGCTGCCTAAGCTCCTAAACCCTCGCCCCAGCTGAACCCTAAACCCTAAGCCCCTAAAGGCTGTCTAAGGAGAGGTCAATGCCGGCACGCAGCAAATGGACCGTGCCGATCACGGCAGTACGATCATGGCGGCTGCCCCGGAGTTGGGTTTCGGGTTGAGGTTTTGGGGTTTAGCGTTAACGGCTAAGGGGGTTTTCGGGTTTGGGGTTTAGGCATGAGGTTTTAGAGTTAGCGGTTCAGGTTTTGAGTTCTATGCGTTCATCTAGGCTTTGAGGGAACCAAATGTTCGGGACGCGAAGGCTCGCCTATACTCTAGAGCCTATTGCCGCAGCAACGGGTGCAAGTTCTGGTCGATGAACCTTTTTGTGCAAAGCGTCTGGTGGAAACTGTTCGAGCCGAAGTGGAGACATGTCCCTTGCCATGACTGCTGCCAGAAAGAAAGACACAAGGCATTGATTTATGGATCCGGGTTCAAAGCCCGTAAAACAAACGAAAGATTAGCAGGATTGGGAGTATGGGGTCCGATGCTACGAACGGCTGTGGGCAAGGAAGTTTAAGAAACTGTTGGGACCCTGGTCTGGGAAATAGCAGGCTTTAGCTAAAACGAGCACCTGCTAAGAAGCCGCTAATGCTCAACCAAAACCTTCGAGGCCGTGCAGGGGTTTTGGGTGCAGGCTTTGGATTTAAATTTAGGGCTTGTAATTGGGGTATAGAAATCAGGCCCATGCAAGCCTCTGTAACCTCCACCTCCTGCAGAAACGTCGAGGTGTGTCCATCCCAGAGTGATGTTCTTACACACGCTGAACCCTAACATCCGTTTAACACACTGATGAAACCCAGGTAACTGTGAGATTGGCATAGAAGAATGAAGCATGCCTCCCGGAATGGAGCAAGCAGTGCTTCACTACGCTACTGCACCATAACTAAGCCTTTCGTCGCTGAAGCGCACTCGGAACCCTGAACCCAGATAAGTAAGACAGGGTCTGGAGACTTGATTAGTATGAGTTATACTACTTGCATTCAGTCCTGGAGCAGTGTGTAAAAATCTGTCCGGATAACTGTATTCTGCATCAATGCCCCCCATGTGGCGACATGCTGTTGGTATCCCCAGAAAGAGGCATCAGATCCACACATATCCACCCTTTCTAGTACTGAATCTTCGAGCTAAGAAAACCTACGGTGTCCCCCGAGACATGAATATCCGTTTGCAAGCTTGAAAGCGACACGCATTGTTAATCAAGGGTTCCTTAGTTGCTTAGGGTACCGAGTGCAAGTCCAATCTGAGGAAAATGCAAAAAGCAAGAGCATTTTGGCGTTCTGCAAGAGGCTGTGCATGAACTGCTACCCGAACTCACGGAACAGCCAGTAGGCGTCCTGCGGTGACTGTGGGCTGAGGAGAGCCCGGGAGTCTTGTCAACTGCCCCAACCTTATCAATATACGGCCGTACATCGTTCCACTCCTTGAATGCCGATCCGGTTCAGGGCCAGTTTTGCCGGTTTAGGATTGAGGGCTTTGTAAGGAGTCGGGGGTGCAGGGGCTTCATCGCAAGTGGATCTTCTGGAAGTAGTGTTGCAAGTGCTCAGGTGTGGATCAGGGAAGTCTCCGTGGGGAGGTTCGCTTTTTACGGCTTCAACACCTTAGAGTTCAAGGTCTAGGGTGTAGGCTGGCTTGTGAAGCGTGTGTAGCTGCTTTCCTGTCACCCACAATGGTTGGACAAGTAGGTCCCGGTCGGCTGCTTGAGGGCCATGACCGTCGCCTTCATTCTAAGGTACTTGCGCTTTGATCACGGGCCCTTTTAGGATTTAGAGTCTAGGGGTTTAGGCTTTAGGGGTTGTGCTATGATTGCAACAGCTGCTTTTAAGTGATTCTGCACCAAGACTTCGCTGAAAGCCAGGCAAAACTAGACCTCGACTTCAACCAACCCAGAAACCCCTAACCCTGAAGTATGCCGAGCAGCCCCAGTCCTTGGATCACTAGAGTATTGCATTCCCTCATGGCCTCTCTTTCTCGGTATATGCAAATACACAAACGAATAAACACATAAAGAAATGGATAACATATCAGAAAATACCTTCGAACATGAAACCAAATGTAAACACAGACACATATGTGGGTATGTATGTATGTATGTATGCATGTATGTATGTATGTGTGTAAGCACGTATGGGTATAGGTATATGTTTGGGAATAGGTATGGTATATTAGGTATATATGTATATGTGTATACATATGTATACGTATGTGTATATAGTTATATGTAAGTACGTGTGTATACATGTATATATATATATACATACACACACGTATGTATGTATGTATGTATGTATGTATGTATGTATGTGTGTGTGTTTATGTGTATATATGTGAGTGCACGTCTGTGTATGTAGGTACGCAGGCATGCATGTCTGTGTGCATGTATGTATGTGTATGTGTATGTGTTTGTAAGCGTCTCGGCCCCAGCCCCCCTGGAGCGTCTGCTAGATCGAGACACACATGGGATGCCACGCTCCGTGGCGCCGCTTACGTCCTCGGACGAGTCAGCCTGCAATGAGTCTGATAGTGACGTCACTGCTGGTACAGCTTCTGATGAAGCATCCGATTTGGAGGACCGGGAGCGCAGTAACTTCCTCAGAGTTCGAAGCTGGTGGCACAAACGTGTTCTACAGCTGCTCTTCGAGCACTACCTGGAGTTGCAGCTGCGATCCCATGGTGGGCTTCTCACCAACAGACAGATTGCAGGCAAGCTCAATGCCTACAAACGTAGCTGTGAAGTGCTCAGTGCTGATGAATGCTACGCGTTGCTGCGACCGCAACTGCTGGCGGGTCTGCAAAGCATGGTGGAACAAGACCGTGACGTTTTGCTCACGCAATTGGCCAGGTCTGTGCCACGCAATGATTGGCTATGGATCCGAGCAACAGGGCGATGGGGAGATCCGAGTAAAAACCAGGTTACAGGCAGATCCCAGCTTCTGCTGGCGCAATCGATGGGACCTCGACTCCGACATCCACATGCCACGAACCTTATGCAACAGCTTTGCGCTGCAGCCTCGCATGGATTTTATCACGATCAGCTTTTCATGCTGTGGTCCTTGTTCGACAACAACGACCGCTTGGCGTTTCAAGCTTGGTTCAGGAAGCTTCTTGGAACTTCTGTTGAGCAACGGCCTGCACTGTCTGGCACCGGTCTGCCACCCCTGGTCGAGGATACAGATAGAGATGGAGATGTCAACATGCATGCAGGCTCCGAGCCTGCCAGCGGGTCCAGAGACCCTCGGCCCCCTGCAAGGGGCCCTCCTTCCTCTGCGGCAGCTTCGAGCACAGCAGGTGGCTAAGGGACTTGCACATCGACGAGTGCACTCCCTACGGACGCAACCATGTGGCTTTCGAAAAGGGGGCCGCCCTGGTCCCAATTCCAGGGACCCACTCCACCTGGAGCTGCATGCATGGCAGCTCAGATGCACCGTCAACACTGATAGCACAGGTGATTGGGTAGACGCGAGGGTTGGAGGTAGCTTTGGTCAACGCCCTCCTGAAGCCCACCAAACAGCTTCCCATTGGGCCTCCACTCAGGCGAAGCTTTTTGACCCTCTCTTTCACGGCGCTTCTAGCCAAGCTATGTGCCCCAGGAGAGAACACTCCTTTTGCCAAGACACACTGAATTCATCTTTTCACAGTCACTCATCATCATCATCCATGCAGGACGAGGAGCAGCGCCTCAGAGACCGCGCCTCCCTGTGCACAGGCCCCGCTTCTGCTTTCACCACTGTTGTGGTGTTGGCCCTACTCAGCACTTTGCTCTTGCGCATGTGGCACAATTGGTGTTCGCGCTCTGAGCGCTGCTGGATGTGCATTCGCTTATTGCCAGGCGTGTACCGACGGCGGCTGATCCGACTGTCTGAGCAGCCCAAGCGTAGAGCAATGCATGTGCGAGGCAAAGGGAGGTCTGCACAGGCATCCCATAACCCTTCTGCTAAAACACGGCCTGGCCTCAGCAGGTTTTGGTTTTGGGTTTTGGTGTTCTGTTGGTTTAGTCTGCCCCACTGCTGCCATGCAGCCCCACATAGACATAGTGACGCTCCCAGCCTTCTGACTGTCTATGGCCGATCTGCAGAGTTGCTCTCTGCCTCGCGCAAACGCGCTTTCAAGAGAGCCCAGGCAAGGGCGCTACAGCATGGCTCCACTATTTACAAGGGTCGTGTTCACACTGTTCAGAGCTTGGCGCTTAGGCGAGTAGGCACGCGTTGTGCTTCGTCAGAGAGAACTTCACCCTCTGCACATCCCCGATTAGGTCCTCACCCTACTGACCCGTCTCCCTTGCGCATTGTCATTTGGAACTGTGGAGGGTTAAACCAGGTCCGATATGCGGAGCTTTTGCAGTGGCTAGATGATCTCCGTAGTCAGGGTTCAGGAATTGACGTGATATGTGTTCAAGAAACTCACTGGAGCCGAGATGTGGAGTACAGCAATGACCATTGGCATTTTGTGCATTCCGGCTCAGGCAGTTCCGAGGCAGGGATATGTTTCTTGATCCGAAAGGGCCTAGTCCCCAAACACGCCATTAGGTTCAATTGCCTAGCCCCGGGACGCCTTCTTCACCTTAGACTTGAGACCTCTCCGGCCATAGATATTTTGGGGGTCTATCAGGTTGCTTGGAATCCCTCTAATAAATCTCTCGTGGGTAGCCCGGAAGAGAGAACTGCTGAGCTTGTGCGCAGACGTGCCACAATCTTCGAGCACATTTGTGTGTGGGCAAGAGGAGTTCCGCGCCGCAATGCCTTGACAGTAATAGGTGATTTCAATTGCACCCTTAAACCGCTTTCCCCGAATGTTGGACCTGGTGTCCCCTGCAACACCACGCATCATCCTGATCAGCCCACTTTTCAGCAGCTAGTGTCGTCCCTAGGTTTAGTTGCCTGCAACACGTTTGGCCGTAAAGGCCAGAGGGCCAGCACTTTTCTGCAACTGGATCGGAATTCCTCCCAGATCGACTTTGTCCTGTGCCGATTGCCTTGCTCGCCGGCTCAACTGAGAGCAACACCGTGGGCGACGGCTCCCGTGGTCCACCCGACTGGTTTTAGGCACGTCCCGGTTTTAGGATTTCTCCCGAAGCCTGGTATCCCAGCGAGTAAAAGCCAGCACATGCTCCCTAGGCCTAGAGACATTGACATGCAGCTTCAATCCAACCCGGAGCTATTGGGTGCTTTTCGTTCTGCAGTGTCGCAGCGGGTGTCACCTTCTGCAGACCTCGAGGAAGGCTTACGTGCAGCCTGGCATCAAGTTCAGCCCAAACCTGGCCCTGCAACTGTTGGCAACACTCCCCAAATGCAGTCTCCTATGTCTGTGGACAACTGCTCCTTAAAAACGTATTGGCAGTGCAAGACGCGACTGCGCGAAGCCCTCTCGAGGGCTGATCACTACGTTGCTCCGGTCATGCTGTTCATCGCCAGTGCCCCTCCTACAGTGCTGCGACGAGAAACAAGGAACAGTTCTCGCGGGCTGTCCCTTGTCATGGAAGCGTGGCGCGCAGCGGTCTCTTTCCACCAACATAATCGAGCCATTCGTAAGCGAGCTAAAGCCAGAAAACAAGAACATTTTGATGCGTTGGTTCAAGAGGCTGCTGCTGCTGATGCCTCCGGCCTCAGTGCTGTCTACAACTTGGTTAGAAGACTAGCCCCAAAATCGTCTAAACGTTCAATCCATTTTAGAAACCAGGCTGGTCAGCTACTTAGCACTGCAGAGGAGATTCGCTTGCTTGAACAGTATTTCACAACTCTGTACAGCGATGACTCGAGTCGACACCTGCCGATTGCCTCTCCGGAATGCCAGATTTGGATCACGGAATCGGAAGTGCAACAGGCGCTACAAGCACTGTCAAGTCGTAAGGCCCTCCCCCCGGGGGATGTCCCGGCAGTCTTATGGAAGGCTGCGTCGGATTTGGTGTTGCCACATGTGCAGAAGGCACTTAACAAGGCCATTTGCCCAGTGCTCGACTTCCCTGGCAGGTGGCACGAATCACATCTTGTTCTCATGGCTAAGCCGAGTAAGCCCCCGACCTGCCCTCAAAATCTCAGGCCATTAAGCCTACTGCCGTTCTACCCTAAACTCCTGGCGAAAATTGCCGCAGAACGCTTCCGTCCCTTCCTGCTGAGCGCCCTTGAAGGAATCCCTCAATTCGCATACTGCCAAGGAAGACAGGCTTTGGATGCCCTGGACAGAGCCTTTTCACACTGTGCTGCAGTTCGCTCGGCTGTCCAGAGTGCGCAACGAAAGGCCTTTCCCATCATGCCTGGTGCCAGGACACGCCTTGCTGGAGGGATAATGTTATCATTAGACTTGGCCAAAGCCTATGACAAGCTCCCTAGACATCTGCTCATCATTGCCATGCAACGGGTAAATGCACCGGCCGAGCTAATAGCCTTGGTACTGTACATTCATGACAATGCCCTCCTGGTTATTGAGAAGCATGAGTGCACTGCTCGCATTGCGTTGCGTAGAGGCATCAGGCAGGGATGTGGCATCTCGCCTCTGTTATGGCTGAGCTTCACACTCCTTTTCTTTGATCGATGTGCCAAACACACCGCAGTCGAACATCTAACGGGGTTTGCTGACGACTTTCTTGTAAAGTGGCAAGTTCAAAGTCAACGTGAGTTTCGGAATGCGTGTGCGGCAATCCCCAAAATCATTTTGGACCTTCGGCACTTAGGGATGGATGTCTCGGTTGACAAGACGGTGGTACTGTTGTCCCTTGCTGGCCCCGATGCTCCCAGTCTCCTGCAAACCTTCGTACGCAAAACTAAGAAAGGCAAGGTACTCGTTCTGAACCACTTACAGGATGTGTTTACTTTACCCATCCAGGCACATCACACGTACCTAGGCATGCAGGTGAGTTACCATCTGTTTGAACGTCAATCTCTGCAACACCGAGCGCAGCTCAGCTGGACGGCGTTTCACAGGCTTCGCAAGTTCCTCACCAACAAGCAGTACCCACTAATCAGACGGGTTCAATTATGGCGATCTTGTGTTTTCAGCATCCTGTCCTACGGGTTGTGCGCCCTAGGGGTTGATTCTGTTAGTGCTGTCACCCTCCAGAGGCATGTATTGCGCCAACTCCGTGCCATTGCGCACAGTCCTGCGCATATTTCACATGAGTCAAATGCGGAACTGTTCAGCAGACTACAGGTGCAGCCTCCTCTTTGCTCCCTCTATCAGCGCACGGTAAAGAGGGTTGAAGTTAGTTCAAAGTCTGTAGGCTACCTTCAGCCTGACCGGGTAGCACAATGGTGGGGACTTGTCACCAGCAGTTTTGCTCTGCAGAACTCCGACACCTCGGATGGCCCCGCCACAGTGACTGAAGTAACAGGAATCCTGAAGGTTCAGAGCGTCTGTTCAATCTGTGGGCAAATGTTCCCGAGCCTCCTTGCCCTACGAATCCATCAAGGGAAAACCCACCCGGAATCACAGCCTGCCAAAGAGCGTAGTGCGACTATTAAGAATGCTAGACTTGACAAATTCCGCGTCCACTCTGCCGGAGGTAGACCTGAATGCATTCATTGTGGCAAAAAGTTTCATGGCTGGCCGCAATTCATGGGGCACCACTCGCAGAGAGCCTGCCCGGTTTTGCATGCAGAGCCTACGCGACAGCATATGACCTCCCAGTCTGCAGACGACCAGTTAGTGTTGAGAGTTGACAAGGGTTGCACAGCAGATGGAGGACATGCACATGCACAGTCCGCCACCCTGCCCATCAGATCCATGGATGCTGTCACGGAGACGGAGCCGTCCCTTGCTTTAGGGGTGTCCGCACCGGAGGGACATCAGTCTCCCAGGCTCCATGTGTCACCCACGCTCCCAGTTTTTGCACAGCCGAGGTTGCATGAGTTAGCCAAAGCTGGATCCCTTGAGGCCCTTGCTGAAGCTGTCAAACAAACCGATTTCCAACATCACTGCCCAGAATGTTTTCAGTGGTGCTCTAGCCCCAGCTACGTCTTCAAGCATGCATGCAAAATGCACGATAATGTTCGCACTCTGCAGCCTGTGGTGCAGCAGTGGCTGCTCGAGAAGACGCAGACCAGCCGCCCGTGTAGGTGGTGTGAGAAGTGGTTTTCAGCCAGGCCGGCTCAGCACTTGCGCAGTTGCCCAGTGTTGTGGACTTGTGGTCACTTACTCGCGCGCCACTGCCCCCTCTCTTTGCAATCCGCAGGTCAGAGAAAGCTGGACGATGTCCTCCAACCCGTCCGAGGCGGACCTTGCGGAGCTAGCACAAGCCCGCGCCGAACTGTCCCAGTTCTCAGCCTACATGCCGAAGGAGGTGACGACTGGAGTGCCTCAGCTA